TGCAGTCACGAAAGCTTCACATCTAGAATTGTTTTCATATTGTGTGGGCTAGCTGCTGACGTAATCACACACACACAGTCACGTGGGGGGGTGGGCTAGCTGCTGACGTCATCACACACAGTCACGGGGGGTAGGGGCTAGCTGCTGACGTCATCACACACACAGTCACGTGGGGTGTGTGAGCTAGCTGCTGACGTCATCACACACAGTCACGGGGGGTAGGGGCTAGCTGCTGACGTCATCACACACACACAGTCACGTGGGGTGTGTGGGCTAGCTGCTGACGTCATCACACACACACAGTCACGTGGGGGGTGTGGGCTAGCTGCTGACGTCATCACACACAGTCACGGGGGGTGTGGGCTAGCTACTGACGTCATCACACACACACAGTCACGTGGGGGGTGGGGGCTAGCTGCTGACGTCATCACACACACACAGTCACGGGGGGTGTGGGCTAGCTACTGACGTCATCACACACACACAGTCACGGGGGGTGTGGGCTAGCTACTGACGTCATCACACACACACAGTCACGTGGGGGGGGGGGGTGGGCTAGCTGCTGACGTCATCACACACACACAGTCACGTGGGGTGTGGGCTAGCTGCTGACGTCATCACACACACACAGTTACGTGGGGGGGGGGGCTAGCTACTGACGTCATCACACACACAGTCACGTGGGGGGGGGTGTGGGCTAGCTACTGACGTCATCACACACACAGTCACGTGGGGGTGTGGGCTAGCTACTGACGTCATCACACACACACAGTCACGTGGGGGTGTGGGCTAGCTGCTGACGTCATCACATACACACAGTCACGTGGGGGTGGGGGGGCTAGCTATTGACGTCATCACACACACAGTCACGTGGGGGGGGGGGCTAGCTACTGACGTCATCTCACACACACAGTCACGTGGGGAGGGGGGGGCTAGCTACTGACGTCATCACACACACAGTCACGTGGGAGGGGTGGGCTAGCTACTGACGCCATCACACACACAGTCACGTGGGAGGGGGGGGCTAGCTACTGACGTCATCTTACACACACAGTCACGTGGGAGGGGTGGGCTAGCTACTGACGTCATCACACACACAGTCACGTGGGGGGGTGGGCTAGCTACTGACGTCATCACACACACACAGTCACGTGGGAGGGGTGGGCTAGCTACTGACGCCATCACACACACAGTCACGTGGGAGGGGGGGGCTAGCTACTGACGTCATCTTACACACACAGTCACGTGGGAGGGGGGGGGCTAGCTACTGACGTCATCACACACACAGTCACGTGGGGGAGGGGGGGGGGGCTAGCTACTGACGTCATCACACACACACAGTCACGTGGGAGGGGTGGGCTAGCTACTGACGTCATCACACACACACAGTCACGTGGCGGGGGGGGGGCTAGCTGCTGACGTCATCACACACACAGTCACGGGTGGGGGCTAGCTGCTGACGTCATCACACACACAGTCACGTGGGGGGGGTGGGGGCTAGCTACTGACGTCATCACACACACAGTCACGTGGGGGGGGGGGTGGGCTATCTACTGAAATCATCACACACACAGTCACGTGGGGGTGTGTGGGCTAGCTACTGACGTCATCACACACACAGTCACGGGTGGGGGCTAGCTGCTGACGTCATCACACACACACAGTCACGTGGGGGGGGTGGGGGCTAGCTGCTGACGTCATCACACACACACAGTCACGTGGGGGGGGTGGGCTAGCTACTGACGTCATCACACACACACAGTCACGGGGGGGTGTGGGCTAGCTACTGACGTCATCACACACACACAGTCACGGGGGGGTGTGGGCTAGCTGCTGACGTCATCACACACACAGTCAGGTGGGGTGTGGGCTAGCTACTGACGTCATCACACACACACAGTCACGTGGGGTGTGGGCTAGCTACTGACGTCATCACACACACACAGTCACGGGGGGGTGTGGGCTAGCTGCTGACGTCATCACACACACACAGTCACGTGGGGGTGGGGGCTAGCTGCTGACGTCATCACACACACACAGTCACGGGGGGTGTGGCTAGCTACTGACGTCATCACACACACACAGTCACGTGGGGGTGTGGGCTAGCTACTGACGTCATCACACACACACAGTCACGGGGGGGTGTGGGCTAGCTGCTGACGTCATCACACACACACAGTCACGGGGGGGTGTGGGCTAGCTGCTGACGTCATCACACACACAGTCAGGTGGGGTGTGGGCTAGCTACTGACGTCATCACACACACAGTCACGGGGGGTGTGGGCTAGCTACTGACGTCATCACACACACACAGTCACGGGGGGGTGTGGGCTAGCTGCTGACGTCATCACACACACACAGTCACGTGGGGGTGGGGGCTAGCTGCTGACGTCATCACACACACAGTCACGGGGGGTGTGGCTAGCTACTGACGTCATCACACACACACAGTCACGGGGGATGTGGCTAGCTACTGACGTCATCACACACACAGTCACGT